GTACGCCGCGGTACTCATTTTCACAAAGAAATACACACAACTGATTAGCTAACAATTATGTCAATGTTACATGAACACCTGGGAAGGAAGGTGAAATCACGTTGTTACCTAGCAAACATCTGTACTGTATGGGGGAGGGGCTGCTGATGTACTGTGTAGCGGGGGGACGATGAGGCATAAGACTATAGGCCTAGGCCTAACAAGAGACAGTGGAATTATATGTGATAGAGAGTACACTTTCGGAAGAAATAAATTAAAATAAGGAAAAAAAAAATAACTAAGAATAATTCATTTGCAGAGGTACCTTGTTTAAGTATTATACAATGCTAACAATGCGGCTCTTGTAGCCCTGTCTTTAAGCAAGGCATCCATGTGCAAAGCAGTGGTGTTTGTTTATCCATGAAAAAAGCACGCCACCGGGAAAGTTTGCCTTACCAGGAAAAGGTGACGTATCTAGCTTATGACGTATGCATGCTAACTAATGTGAACACATCTAGATGTGTATAAGAGACAGATTCTATTCCTCAAAATATTAATAACTACAAAGTTTATGGGCGTAAATTCCCTTAATACGAATGAAGGGTTGCACAATCTCCTTGCCATACAAATTACAGCTCCCACTGACGTCTCAGTCGAGAAATACGGGTAGCTGATGTTTTTCTCGCAAATCTGACTACAAAACCATATCCAAACTTCACGTTCCACTTTTGAGCCTGAGTAATATGATAATATACATATACATACATCTATATGTGTATGTATATATATGTTAATGTCACTCAGCTGCGACTACCGCGTGCTCACACATGCTCAAAATATTGCCTAGAATTTTGCCCCTGCTAAGTATGATTAAAAATTTTTGAACAGATTTGAGACAGGTTTTACCTGACTAAACTAAGATTAAACATGATAAATCAACACTTCAAAAAAAAATATTGATTCCCGGGGACGCAAATCCGACTCTGGAGAAAATTGTAAATAAAAGCCTAGTCAAATCGTACCAGATTTTCACTATTTCACTTTCGTCAACTTCAATCGATAAATGCTTTGCGTTAACGTGGGTTTTCCCAAACAACTCCGATTGGTTCCGAAACTAGACTTATTTGGAAATGTTTTTACCATATAAGGAAGCCATGGGCGGGCCTTATCTATTAATGAGAACTATGAAATAGAGCTGATGCATTTTTGCTAAGCGACGCTAAAACGTGGTTACCAAGGTTACGCTTTGAAACGATAGGTGGCGCTGCGCAAAGGTTGTGTTGGAAATGAAATGCGTCACTTTTCCGCGGGGAGTGCAGGCTCGACGAAGTTGGCTTATCATAACCTAGCTTACACTATTTTTTACATCTCGCCTGCACTGAACCAGAAGTAAAATTTAAGGTAAGGTAATAATCCTGACTTCTGATTACATTTTTATTTCCTTCACACTTTATATAAAGCCTTCTTGGGCTTGTGGTGTGGACTACGGTTTAGCTAGATTATGTTAAATCCCCATTCCCGGCAAAATTTCAATTTTTAAAAAAAAAATCTAATTTTTGTATAATGTTATAAAGATTTATAAATATAATACGGAATTGCTAGTTTAACTGAATTTAGACATTCCTAAGAATGAAAAAAATGTAAAATAAGACTGAAATTTGATTTTTTGTGTTCCACACAAAAAATGAATTTTCGTGTTTGATTCTGCGACAGGTCGTGAGAAGAAATATCGTAGGCGCCGAAAACATTAGCCTATCCAACGCTGCTAGGCTAGGCCTAGCCTTACCTCGATTTAGGTTCTGTTATCACACATAAAAACGGCCGACATGATATTTTCTGTTGCTAGTATTGACACTTGTGAATATAATATTTCATAGGAATTATTTCAAATTTGTTAAAAAACTGATTCTGACTGAGATTTTGACACTTAAACCAAGGAGGTATTAAATAATACCTCCTTGCTTAAACAAACATATCTCAACCTAACCGAACGAACGCATTGTGCGAGATGCGAAGTAAAAAAACTAATCTCACTAGAGAGGGCGCACTTTATTGACTGTATAAAGTATACATAAAAGCGAGAGTATTC